AGTTATCACATGATTAGAAAGTGATCGAATAATATATACAAAAAACGTCTAGTGCGCACATAGGACCTGTCGGATAAGTCGATTTATCATGTACAATCACTAGAGACAGGTCACGTGGATGCTGTATCAACATCAGTTAGTAAAATATACCAAATTTTGTGTGCTTTTATTAAGCATGGGCATGATCCCGGGCCTGCAGACCCCGAATTATAATCTCTTAAACCAGATCACAATGTTAGAAATACAAATACTCATTAGGAAGGGATTCACAATCTAAAAAATCTTTAACTAACTAAATAGGATAAAGATGACAGTTTAATATCGTCATCATGTGCTGACATCATAAGACATTTGCAATTCATATCTGCAACGATAATTATCAGGAAGATAAAACATTTAAAAAGCGTGTTTTTTGACGAATTATTTTACCTTTATCCACCAATAATTAAAATTAAATCTTTAAAACATGACTACTTCACCATCTGATGTCGCAACAAATCCGGAGCGTCACCATCCCCACACATTGTCGGCCGTGGTAAGCAAGTATTTGAAACGCGTTACTCATTTTATTACTCTCATATTTAAGTTTCAACCTTTCCTCAAAAGGACTTTCATAGTGCAAGTTCTGGCGTTGCTGCCAAGACCATGCGTACCGAGTTAAACAGGCTCGCTAACGCGATTCAAGACATGAAGGCTCGTAGAGTAAGTATTAAAACTTGGTATTCGATTTATTTTTATTATCGTTAGATAACTTACTGTAATCGAATTATGAAGAATTTTCAAAATGAGATGGATCATTTTTATTCATTATTTGTCAGATATTTGAGTGAAAAAGCTAAAGGTACAAAATTGTAAGTATTTTACATGCTCTATTCGATTTTAATAATAATAATAAAAAAATACATGATGACCCTCTATTGTTATTAAAAAGGGATTGGGATAAAGTTAATGAACCTAGTCCCGAACAAATTATTCCATATAAAGATCTACCTGTCTCTGAAAGCCCTGAACACTTAAATAAATTGGCAGTTCTCAAACTTAACGGTGGTCTTGGAACAACCATGGGTTGTGTAGGTCCGAAGAGTGCCATTGAGGTTAGGGATGGTATGACTTTTTTGGATTTAAGTGTCAGGCAAATTGAGGTATGGTTCCATAGGTTATATCACTTATTAGAGATGCATCCATGCCATTATTTCTAACTTGTCACGATTTGTTGTTTATGCAATCAGTATCTTAATAGTAAATACGATGTCAACGTTCCCTTTATACTCATGAATTCATTTAATACTGATGACGATACTATGCGAATCATTCAAAAATATGGAAGCCACAAGATTGATATTCTTACATTTAACCAGTCGCGTTATCCTAGGATTAACAAAGAGTCACTGTTGCCAATGCCTCGATCACCAGTTGGTGATATCAGTCAATGGTATTTTGTGAAATTTATATAAAATGTACGATAGCTATCAAATTATTATGGTTGATATTCTAAGAAATATTGTCTATATAATTAGGTATCCTCCAGGTCACGGTGACTTGTTCGA